GCAGCCGGAGTCGCCGTAGCTCAGTCCGTTCAACGCGTTCTTCCTCGCGGCAAGTGGAGCAACCGCGGGGCACCGTGTCATCTTGACCTCCTTGGTTTCCCAATTGATTTCCGGGTTATGCTTCCGCAGCCAGGAGTACCCCAGAATAAGGTCTTGTTTACCAAGATGAGTGACGGCGAGTTGAACACGCTCGGAATGGCCTTTGTAGCGTAAGACCAAGTCCGCGATCTGGTTGATGAAGCCGGCGTCGTTCGGAGTGCCATCAACGTTAAAGACCGGAATCGGTTGCGCCAGGGTGCGGACCGGAATGCCATTCCGAGCGACATAGTTCGTGTCGATAAAGTCGGAGGTGGCACCACAGTCAACCAGGCCAGAGAGCGAGAGCTTAAGCGCGCTGGTAGCGGACTCTAGCTCCAACGGGAGGTGGAGGGAGTTCACTCCGGGGGAAGCAGCGACAGTGTACTGCTTGGGCAGTTTCTTTTCCCAGGCAGTGAGGCGGCGAAGGACGATGACCGGAGTCGCGGGCGAAGTCGGAGACGGAGTCGAAACGGGGGCGGGGAGGGTATGTCTTTCGTTTCAGGCTCGTTGTAGGGCAAAGGAATTGATTCGTCATACAAACAAGCGAAACGATTTACGGACGCCGAACGAGGGCACACCAGTCCCTCGTCGCGGGGGACAAAATCCTCTCCGGCCATCGACTCCGCGACTGTTTCCGGCAGCGCAGCTGTGTCCGAGTAGCGGGCGATCAACTCCGCTAACATCTCGTCACCGAGTTGTTGGATCACCTCGTCGAGGATGTCCATTGAGCGGACGTCCGCGGGGGGGGGCAATCCCGGGCGAGATGGTTTGGGTCGCCGCACCTGAAGCAGGTGCGACGAGGGGCACCCCGAGCCCTAGTGCGATCCAACTCCATGGGGACGGGAGCTGGAGGCGCCGGAGCGGGGGCGCGGGCCACGGGTGGCACGACCGGAGCCACCGGGCGGAAAGGGGCCGGAGCCGGGATGCGGTTGACCGGAAACGGAGTCCGAATCAAACCGCCAGGCGTCTGGGGGGCGGCTGACTTGATCAGCTTGGCCCGGACCAGGGCCTCGTATTGACGGAAGGCCCGGGTGCGCCAGCTAAGGTAGTCCCGGAGGTCCGGGGGGTCGTTCGAGGACGTGATTCCGTTGTTGATCAGGGGGTCAAGTCCGTGGCGGAACTTGGTCACCTTGACCAACGCGTCTTCGAATCCGGCGAGGTCCATCAGGTCCTCGAAGTCGTCGGTGTACTGGTAGACATCCTTTGTGCCCATGTGATAGGCGGAAGTCTCCAGTTTGGAGAGAGCATGATCTTGCTCATTCTCCTCGACGAACCGGAGTCGGAACTCGGAAACGAACGAGCCCCAGGACGGAAACGGAAACGGGGCTTTGCTTCCGTGGCGCTCCGCCCATTGCTGAGCGGGTCCTTCTGCCATAAACGACATGGCATAGCGGACGGCCTTTTCCTCGCTCGCCTCTCCGTTGACCACGAAGGCCTCAGGGGCAAGGCGGGCGTAGGTGCGGACCGCATAGGAAGAAATGCGGCCGCGTTTCCGATCGCCGTTGAAGGTGAACGGAGGGTTTGGTCGCAAGACCAATTTTGAGGCGAGGTTGATGTCGCCAAAGAGGGCCTCAGAATCGCCCTGAACCGGAGTCGGAGTCGGAATCGACGTCTCCGGGGGTGGTGTTGTTTGGGGTCCGCCAGCAGTATTAGCGCGGCGGCAGCGGCAGCGGAAGCCTGGGTGGTGAGAAGAGTAAGGGCCTCAGTTAGGCGGTCGATTTTCGCCTCGAGTGCATCCAGCCAAGTGTCAGCGTCAGGAGTAGCTCCGGAAGGCATGACAGGTGCGGGGGTGACAGGAGTGACAGAGGAGGAGGGGACAAGTGGTAGGGGGGGTGACGAGGGCGGAACGGACTCGTATTCCGAGCCTGAGTCAGCGCCGAACCTAGCAATCTTGTCCGGTTGATCCCGTAGAGAGTTTCTTCTGCTGTAAGGGCAACCCCGGAGGCCTGAGATCAAGGTCCTAGCAGGGGAGGATCCAAAGAGTGAATAGAAGTAAGCAAATACAAGTGAGGCTGACCTAGCAGGGGAGGATCCAAAGAGAAGAAACTCTAAGGGTCCGCCTGCTAGGTAGCGGAACTATATACTGCGCTCTTGACGCCAAGGTTGATCGTTGCTCCGTGCAGTATGCCTGCGCCATGTCGCAGGCCAGGTCCCAGGGGGATCGCCAGGCGGGGGCGGCGATGCGCCTGACGGAGGCGGTGATGCGATCACCGGAGTCGGAGCCGGAGTCGGACCGGGATCGGAATCGTCTCCGAGGGGCCGAAAGGGAGGTTCCCCTGACAGCAGCCTTGTACTTCAGCCTGCTCAACCGCTCTAATTGGGTTGCTTCCAGTTTTCCCCAACAATATCAGAATTTCGGTAACTGTTTCAGCAGGAGTATTTGGCCTAATACAGTGTGACAATGTGACAAGGCCATACCATACCGTACCATACACACCTTGTGCATAAGGTCTTGGGGCCCTAGAGCCATGAGATGCCATACTATACATGGCTGTAATAGTACAGTCAACAGCCTTAGACCTTCCTAGCTAGGTGCTTATTCAAAGATATTATTCCTAAGATTCTCCATATGATACTTACATGACTATTGTGCATGAAAAATGAATTCACAAGGATCATATGATATAATTCTGAGTTGTTGGTGGTCATATTGACAGCTTATTACTGATACTGTACTATTTTAATCAATTCATCACCCCTTGGAGGTGTGACATGTGCGACGAATCTAAAGTTTCGTCGCACCTTCCCCATTAGGCAATTTGGGGCGCCAGAAATTACACACAATAGGAAGGGCTTCCCGCCCAAAGTTTGGCTGACCACCATGACTGACAAAAAAAAAATTGTCGACTTGAGGTGGGTGTGACGTGTGACTGAGTAATGGATTAGAATAGTACAGTAGGCATAATATACTTTCTATGTCTCTACCCCCAAATCTGATCAAAATAGCCTTACCCCCTTCTCCCCCCACCTCATCATCATTCATGTGCCAGATAAGAATCTTGAACCCTCCTTGCTGTGAACTCCGCTAGTTGCATAAGCCTAGGGTCCACTGAATGCATACTGTTGCTGACTATCTGCAAGATGAATGCTGCTAGGTCTTTCATTCTCCCATCCATTCTATTCACATCACTGCACACCAAAAGCAAACTATACATATATTACTTGTGAGTATCTTTTTCTATTGAGATAGAGACACACCGTACAAGATGCCCAAGGCAGCGTTGGAGAGGTATTAAGCGGGTAACTTGAAGGGACCACTGGCCATCCTCGGTATTCACAAGCCTTATGTAGTGGCATGCAAATTCCCGGCGGGCAGCAATAGGTCCAGCATTGCTTGAGATGTTCAAGATGTAGGGTGCTCTCTTCAACACATAGGCATATTCCATACTGGAGGTATGCAGTGTTTCTTTCAGTGCTTCCACCACAGTTGTCTGGGTAGAGCCACTGTCAAAGAATTATGTAAAACTATATGAACATAATCTTTTGCAGCACTCACTACAAATCTGACAATAGTCGATCATTTTCAGGCTTTGTGTTATATGCCGGGAATCCTGCAATACAGTTACACAATGACGTGAACCTCCATTGATCCAGATAGGTGGCAACTACCAGATGTGTGAGTTGTGAAAGTCTGTGTTCCTCTCCCACAACGGAGTGGAATGTGTCGATGTTTTCGGCAATGAGCTCAACCACAGGGATAGACTTTGAGAGGCAAAGTTGTTCCAAGACAGACCACTGCCAGTCGTTGGGACTTTTTACAATGTCACTCAGTGTTCTGAGTCTGCAGAGCTATCAGTGCAAATAGTAGACCACAAGGCAATAACATACTCATAAAGCTGAGGCAAAGCACCAATGTACACTGCCATGAAGTGATGTGGCAGTTCAAGCCCCTCCTGAAGCATCCGCCCAACCAGCGTCAAGACTGTAAGGCGCAGTTCATCAGAGTGTTCTGACGACAACAGCTCCTCATAGACTATGCAGTCTTTGGGCAATTGGAAAGACTCGCCCAAGAGCTTGACAGTGCTGCATTTTAAGGATCCAGAATCAAGCAAGCTCAGCCGCTCAATAAGCTCCTCTATGATCAACTTTTTTGTTGGCGGTGTGACATTATGGGAGCTATGTTGTGTTAAAATCTTGATGTTGGTAGGGTACACCCAACCTGAGGCTGACGAGGCTCACCTAAGATATGCCAGAAACATGTCCAGCATCTCACGTGTAAGGTCGTTGCCCGCCTCCCGATAAATAAGCTTCCTGACCTCACGGTCGTACATGAGCCGGATTAAAGGTTTGGCCATTGCATGTATGTTAATGGTTGCCCCGGTGGGATTTGCGTCGCTCCATGAGCTGTAGATGCTAGGAATCGTCGGGGTCTTTTGCAGCGGCGGCATGGAGAAGTCAGGATTGAGCTGCGAGGCCCGGGATGGCCGTTAAGTGCTGTTTATACTTATCATGGGCAGTGTTCAACAGCCATGATTCTGTTCAACAGCCATGAATCATGGCTGTTGAATACTGCCTTGAACCATGTGCATCACTGCTATCGTCATGGGTACTTGAAGGTGTGACACACTTGCCAGTGTTCATGGTCCAAGTTTAACCCGAACCCGACGATCTGAGACCCTGTCGCTCATCACTGCCTATATATCTCTATATATACAAACATCCAACTGACACGCACCGGGACTAGATCCCATCCCTTCTCCGCAGCGAACGTGTTTGTAGCGCAGCCCAGGTTGTAGCCTGCATCAACTTAACAGGGTTTACCACACACTCGCAGAGTGCTCACCAGTTGATCAACGCAGCAACGGGTGACGCTGCAGGATTTCACAAAAAAGAGTATTCTGTATGCCAAGTAATAGAAATTTCGAGGGCGTTGTTTTGACTGCGGGCTTTCCTTTCCTTCTTCATGCTCGGGCTCGCTCACATCACACGGGCACAACTGCCACCGTGATATCATCCCGCCGGCCACCCCACTTCCCGGTATCCGCCAACTCATACAAATTCAAACCCACAACCTCGCTCGCGAACGACTCCCAAATGACCGCGCGCGCCATATTTCCCTCCTCGTCGCGTGCCCTGCCAGCGGCGGCCGCGACGCGTGCCATCGCGCCGGGGACGAGCCGCCCCTGGTACGCGGTGGCGCGGCCGGCGATCAGGCTGTCGAGGCCGTCGGACGACTGGATCAGGAAGCAGTGGCCCCCCGGAGGCACGCCGGCGGGCCGCTGCGCGTGGAAAACCTCAGGCACGTGCGACATGTAGGGCGGTGTCTTGTTGTAGCTCCGCAGATAGAGCGCGTAGTTTGGGCTAGTAGCTAGCGCGATGACCTCGAGGATGGCGTTGGGGAACTTGTAGTGCACGTCGCCGATGGCTGGCGTTGGTCAGCTGCTGTTTCCGAGAGGAAGAAGAGACCTAGGTACCGCGGCTGAGGTTCATGCCCCGCAGAGTGAGGAGGCGTTCGTCTGCGGTTACGCAATCGGGCTCGTCGGGGTGTTCGCTCCGGATGCGCGCGATTTCTGCCGGGTTGGAGGTACGGTGGTGCGGCGCGAGGTCCAGCGTCTCCCAGACGTCATCAGGGCCCGACGTCCAACAAAGGACTGGGATATTATATTAGCTCTTTTTGAGGAATTGGAGAGTAGACAAACAGGAATCGCAGTCGCCGACATTCACCACGTGTACGCCTCCAGTCGGATCTACCAGCGCAATACACACCGTCGTGCCGTTTGCACAGCGGCGTACCTCGACTCTTGTATTGCCGTCTGCATAGCGCAGCTCTTTTGAGGCGTCGAAGCCGGCCAGGTCCGCGGGAAGGAGGGCAAGAAAGTCGTTCTTGATGCGTTCGTCCAGCGCGACGATCGTACGCGTAAGCAGCGCCGCAATTTGCTCGTTTCCAAGAGGGTTGCCTGCAGCGAACTCGGCTGCGAGCGCGCGCTCTACTGCCCGGGGCAGCTCCGCAAGCGCAAAGTCAACCGTATCGTCCTGTTCACCGTGTCCTGCACCATAAAAGGACCGTCAAGACTCAAAACACAGAGTTGGCCCGCGACTGGTACACACCATCAAGCACCATCGAGAACTTCCACTTCCCGCCCGGAAGGTCCCACATCTCCCCATGAAAGCGGTCCTGGCTCGGCAGCGGGCCCTGCGTGATGCACCCGCCGAGCGTCACGAAGTGCATGTCGCCCACGCGGTCTGCGCCGGCGTCGAGCAGCGCGCGGAGGTGCGGGTATGCAGTTTCGTCTGACATCGATGTGGCTGCTGGCAAGAAGCAGTTTCCCACATTAGCCTTTGTGGGCTCATTCGAAGAGAGGGCATCGCCACCGTCACGTCTGTGACGATCTCATCATTCTATCAACAAACATTGTGGAACTGTGCGCTCATAGCTTTGTTGTGGTGTAGCGTCCGAGTCCCGACAAGTATCATGAACAGACTAAACAGTGCAGGGACGGGGGACCTTACACCTCATAGTCCTTGCCATCTCAGAAACTGTCTCCTGTAATGAACCGATACTAACGAGAACGTAATATTGATGCCCCGGGCCTACAATGTGCGACGAGCCGGACCGACGAGTTGGAACTGTGACAACAGTTGGACAACAGCAGGACCCCCGAAAGTCTGGGCTGATGTTTGATGGGTGGTCCGGACATTTTTTGGGCGGATTTGGGCAGAAACCTTGTATGTTGTCCGGACATTGGAGGGCCAGGTCTGCGAACACTTTGAGCAGGGGTCCGGACATGCATTTGGCCCCCCATGCTCAAGGGTGGGCACCAAATCATCGCATCATGATGTGCTGGAGACAAGACCAGAAGCAATTTAGCCCACTGGGAAGCACTTTTGCATGGAATCTGCGCTAAATTAGGCGGTGTTGTGCCTGATTCGGAGATTTCGCCCATAAATGTCGCAGCAGCCGGGTTCGGTCCGGCTCGGCGGCGCCCCGGCCCGGAAGGACTTTGCATGGAGTCCGGACATTTTTAACCCTCTTGAGCAAATTTGTTCGGACATTTTTTACCCAAATTTGGGTGTTTTAAAATCAAAGTTCACAACAGACTTTCGGGGGTCCTACAACAGCCTGACGAAATTGGGTTATGACGTCAACTGCAAGTTTTTGCTTCCGCCGAGGTTCCGATCCCACTTCTGAATCCGATCCTCAGGCCTCATCGCGGAACGCCGCCTCAAAGATCGTACATAGAGGTAATCGTCTGCGGTAAGATCAAGCAGTAACCATCTGCACTGGCCGCTCGAGCTTCTTTTTGAGTTCTTCGCGGTCTCGGTCCGGCAGTGTCAATCGCCCTTGGCAACGATTCCATCGATAGAGAGTTTCCCAGGGTCACACGTCCTGACAAAACGTCACGTCGCGCGCATCACCGCGTAGCACCACCGCTTTCGCTTAGCAAAGCTTGGTCAGAACCCACCACCACGTCGCAGAAGACGCGTCGCCAACTTGGGGTCCGGAACGGTATAAAGGGCTGCGAGAAGCGCGACAATGGACACTTCATCTGCTCCCTTGAACTCTACAACCCATCTCTGCCATGTCTAAACGCATCTTCACCGTCTTCGGCGCGACCGGAAAGCAGGGTGAGCCCTTTCATCTTTTGGACGCGTTTCTTGCTTGTTGACCATGCGCTAGGCGCTGCCATCATCGAGTCTGCTCTCGCTGACGGGACCTTCACCCTCCGCGCTGTTTCGCGCAAGGTCGACTCCGACGCGAGCAAGGCCCTGATCGCCCGCGGCGTCGAGGTTGTCTCCGGTGACTTGTTCGACAAGGAGTCGCTCAAGAAGGCCATCCGCGGCAGCGAGGTCGTCTTTGGCGTGCGTGCTGTGGTTTTTGGGGCGGCTTCGACTTGATCGATTGACTTTTTTTTATTAGATCACCAACTTCTGGGACCCCTCTGTCTTCCCCGCCGACCCCAAGGGTGCTGGCGAGATTACCCAGGGCAAGAACCTCGTTGATGCCGCGAAGGAGGAGGGTGTCAAGTACCTCTTGTGGAGGTGCGCTGTCTACAACTGCGAAAACACCATCTGACCTGCCGTTAGCTCGCTCCCCAACATCTCTGAGGCCAGCAAGGGCGAGTGGAAGCACGTCTACCACTGCGACAGTGCGTTGTCTCCCATGTTTCCTCGTCGCCGTAAATGTTTACGATTCCCTCAGACAAAGCCATCGTTGGTGACTATCTTGCTGCTTCTGGCGTCCCCCACTCGATCGTCTACACCGCCTGGTTCGGCGAAAACCTTTGGGCATTTGGCAGCATGGTCCCCGCCGAGTCCGGCAACGGCTACACCATCCCGATCCCGAAATACAGCGCCACCGACAAGCAACAAGCGACCTGGGTCAAGAACGACCTCGGCCCAGCTGTTCTTGCCCTCGCCAAGAACTACAACACCGACAAGGGCAAGGAGGTTGGCATCCTCGGCGGCTCGTTCCCCGTCGTCACCCTCAAATTCACCTACCCTGAGCTCGCTGCCGCCATCTCCAAGGGTATGTTGCTGTTGCCTTCCGTCTTCTCGCAATTAACATCAACACCTAGCACTTGGCAAGCCCGTCAACTTCTTCAGCGTCGAGACCACCGGCATGGCTGAGCTCGATGAGATGGTGCGTTGTTCCTCTGGATCATAGTACCGCATCTGACTCCGCCTACCAGTTCCTCTTCCAAGCCAAAACCGAGGGCATGTACCCCGACGCCATCCCGAACCCCAAGCTCGCTGCGCTCGGCGTCAAGTTCGGCACGCTCGACCAGTTCATCAAGGAGGGTGTCCTCAAGCACTTCTCGTAGATAATGTAATTTTTGTACGATAACTAAAAGTATACCTTGCCAATGTACGTGGTTTTGTCCCGACCCGTGACCGTTTTGGAAAGCAACGAAGCATGGCGGCCAAAGCGGAAGTAAAATCTTCCACATAATTTACATTTCCCCACTTTTATGATCAGTCAGTTTCTCTTCGAACAACGCCTATTATTTTTGACTATATAGGCAGCGAGCACGTAAAACGATTCTTGATGAAGACCCTAACATCTAGCCCCTCGTCTTTCATTTTGCGCAATGGGTCCAGGACCTGGAGCTCCTTGATGTGCCAGTCCGAATCATCGGAGTTGGAGAGCCCCAGAAAGAACGACTTGAGCCGTACCGGTGGCGGCGCGGATTCCGGGCTGGCTGAGTTGACTGACTTCGCCGTTGTCCGGTCGATCCAACGGGATGCGACCGTGTCGACCCAAAGGCCAACCGTCGCAACGGTTGCTGGGTCCTCATAATTGCACGCCCAGTTCTCAACGCGGAGATGTTTCAGGCCGGGGAGCAGCAGCCGCGTGCGGACATCCTGGCAGAACTGGGCGGTGTGCGCGAAATCCCAGGGCAGGGCGTCGAGCGTCAGCTCAGAGACGGTCGGCGGGAGGCACACGATGGCGCGCCAGGTTGCCCCGACCGCGATCCCGCGAATAGTAAGCTCACGGAGGGGCGGCTGGGGATTGCAGCGGATGCAGAGGGTGAATGCGGCCGCAGCACGCGTGTCCAGGCTATAGCCGAGGATCGCGGATTCAAGACGAGGGAGCGACAGGCGGTCTATGAGCTCAGCCCAGTCGGCGTGCAAGCAAGAGAGTTCCCGGAGGTGGACCAGACATAGATCGCCTCCGAGTCTGCGTCGAGAGGCGCCAGTTACCGACTCCTCAGACCTGCCCTTCCCGAGATGAAGTGTCTCCAGCCGCGGGGCCGCACTCAGCATTTCTGCTGTTTGGACTGGCTCCACGCAGGAGAGCACAAGGGTGACAAGGTTACAGGGCGACAAGCCGAGACGCCGCGCCATTTGAGCAGATTCCACGCGCAAGTAAGAGAGTCTGGGGGTGGACCGCGTTGAGATGTTGTTGGTTTTGTCGGAGAGGCGGAAGGACCCCAGGTCAAGTACTTGGAGTTTGGGTAGCGCGTCAGGAAGAATTTTCGGGTCCAAGAACGCCGAGTCAACCCCTTGACCGTCGTAGGAGATGCGCAGACGTTGTAGTCTGCCTTCTACAGGCTTCAGCGTATTAAAAGCCTCCTCAACTTGTATCGACTGGATGTGCTCGGGCCTGCCGATGAAGCGGAAGTCAACGTCGAGCGGCCGGATGCTCCCGGAGCGCTTTAAGAAGAGTGAAGCTAGCAAGATGGAGTATACAGGTCCAGTATGCGGCCATGACACTATTAGCGTGCTCCACAACTCCGTCGTTGACAGCGCAAGCTGTCGCCACACGCGGCACACACTTGCAAGCACGAGGGCCGGCTGTGCTGGTACATACTCAGAGTATTCGTAGACAGGGTTCCATGGCTCCAGGACGAACGACCAGATGTAGAGCGTGACTTCGTGCGGGAGCGTGAGGACGGGAAACTTGATCTCGCTGAGCTGAGCAACGAACTGGGCCTGCCGGGCCTCCAGATCGGCGAGTTGTTGACGGAGAGCGGGCAACTGGCTGTCGATGTCGGCGATCTGCTCGCGAAGTAGAGAAGCGATAGACATCGTGGTCAGGAGCAAGAGTCACGTCACAGCAAGGGGTGTCAGATTTGGCCGATTTGCCCACCCGCAATCAAACGGCATTTTGATTGAATCACGCACTGCCTTCTCCAAATCAAGGTAGAATCCGCAGAAAAACTAGCGATCATGCAAGAACAATATGTATATAGGCCACTTTGTAGTGCAATCTCTAGGCAGTGACAATGTGACAAGCCTCTGAAAAATTGTGCTAGCAGGTCCTAAGCACAAGATAAACACATATCTAGCTATGTCAAGCACTAAGCTTCCAACAGCTCTAAAAGCTGCTGTCAAGCTGATGGGCTCGCCACCTTGGCCCAACCTCCAAGGCTCCAACCTTAGCCTCAAGTCACGACAGTATAATGAAGTCACAGGATTTCCGCATTTGGGGGGGGGTGGTTTACTGTAGTAATTAGACCATAAGTTTGTGTAATGCGTAATCGGGCTAAAAAAACATAGTGTTAAAATTCACCTAAAATCAAAAGAAAATTTTTGGGCCCTTTCGGGTATGAAAAAATTCAAAATTAATGAACTTATGGTCTAATTATTACAGTACGTTTGATTGCGGGTGGGTGGATCTCACGAATCTGATACCTCTTGCGTCACAGACGTTGACGATATGATGGAAGTCACCTGACAACGCTTCCTATTAATCCGAGAAAAGTGCTTTGACAAATATAAGAAAAAATAGACAAGCTTGAAGCGAGCTGAGCTGGAACTTGAATCATGTCGGTCCAACGACTGATGGTTTCATGCATAGTATACCCCCCTTTGAAGGTGCATGACATGTGCGACGAACCTAAACATTCATCATCCTTCCCCATTAGGAAATTTTGGTACCAGATCAGCCAGAAAATTGCATTTTATGGTTGAAGTTGGGGCAAAATCTTGCCAGCCTTGCATGACTGGTGGAATTGTGATATCGGGGTAGTTGAAGGTGGAACATTGATAGAAGTTGCAGAAACCTGACAAGACGATATCAGAACTGTGTGAATAACAACAGGACCGGATTGAGTATATACCTGACAAGACGATATCTACATAGAGTCATAAGCATATGTAAGATAGAGGAAAGCATGTAAGTAACTGTGTGAATAACAACAGGACTGGAGAGACGACAAGCTAGACTACTCAGTATATATACTCAGGCTAGCTATGCTGACTACACTACGTTGACTACGATTTATAAGTACGATGAGTAAGTAAAGGTAGAGGATGACTGAGCGAGTATTCAGTCCTTACCAAGCGCATTGGTTATTACCAAGCGGTCATGTGCAAGTATGGTAAGCGGATATGACTTCAACTTCACCAAAACCGAGTAAGGATTGGATATCTGTTAAGTGCCGTGTTGACCAAAGGACCGGAGACGGAGTCGGAGTTGGAAACGGAATCGAAGTCGGAGAGCACTTGGGGGCTCGGAACACTACAGAAGAATGTTTGGGTGACCGGGGCTTCCAGTTGACCAAGATAAGACAAGAGCGGAGTCGAGACGACGCTGGGAGATAGAGACCAGCAATGTTAATTTACAAACTGAAGTATGTAGTAATACATCAAATTATTTATAGTATGAGAAGTAACGGAAACGGAATAAGGTATAACAAAGTAAGTAACAAGATTAGAACAAAGTTAAGTAAAGTAGAAGAGGAGTTGCATACAACGAATAAGGCATAGATGATTGCATAGATCATAAGTCAGGTAATTGGAAACGCTCAGTAAATCTTCATTGCGTAAAAACCAAATACTGGAATCAGATATTGGAATTGAATGCCGGAGTCGGCACGGACATAACAGGGGGGTTAATAAGGGGTGTGAAATTAAGGGTCTTAATAAGGTATTTCCTTTTTGAGAAGTGGTTGATATTAGTGTTTTAAGTACTATATAACAGTATTATAACCTATGCTAGAGCTATATAATCCTCTGATCTGTCAGGGGAACCCCCGCTTCGGCCTCCTTCGGACCCTCCGAACGCATCCGAGGCGCATCCGACCGGCGCCCCCTCGGACGCTCCGACCCACCCCGACCATCGTCCACGGCCTCCTTCGCCCGCACAATCACCGATCCGTCAAGACCCTCCCAACGATCACCTTGGGACAGAGCCTGCGACGCCGCTCAGGCCTTCTGCACTCTACGTCGGCAGTTACGGACGACCAGTATATAGTTGGCGCCCTAGCAGGCGGACCCTTAGAGTTTCTTCTCTTTGGATCCTCCCCTGCTAGGTCGGTCCCTCCGTGTATTTCCTGTAGTCTTATTCACTCTTTGGATCCTCCCCTGCTAGGCTTTCGTCGGAGTCTCCAGGGTTGCCCTTACAGCAGAAGAAACTCTCTACGGGATTAACCGGTCAAGATTGCCAGGTTTGGCGCTGATTCAGGCTCGGAGTACGAGTCCGTACCCCCCCTTCGTCACCGCCCCTGCCACTTGACCCCTCCTCCTCTGCTCTTGTCGTCTTTACGCCCGCTATGTCCACCGGAGCTGCTCCGGACGCTGACGCATGGACGCACTTGAGGCGAAACTAGACAACCTCACCAATATCCTCACCCACCTTGCTTCCCAGGCTTCCGCTGCCGCACCACCTCCGGCAGCTCCCGAACCGCCTTCGGCATCTCCGAATGCCCCCGACGCGGATGCGTTATTTGGTGATATTACTGTCGCCTCAAAACTGGTCTTACGACCAAACCCTCCGTTTGCGTTTAACGGAGATCGCAAACGCGGCCGCGCCTTCCTATACGCGGTCAAGACTTACGCTCGGCTTGCCCCGGAGGCCTTCGTGGTCAACGGAGAGCCGAGCGAAGAAAAGGCCGTCCGCTACGCCATGTCCTATATGGCGGAGGGACCTGCTCAGCAGTGGGCAGAGCGTCATGGGAGCAAAACCCCCTTCCCCTTCCCTCGGTGGAACCTATTCCTCTCCGAGTTTCCCCTTCGGTTCGTTGAGGAGAACAAGCAGGACCTTGCGCTTGCCAAGTTGGAGAGCGCGGGTTATCACATGGGAACGCGGGATGTCTACGGATACACCGACGACTTCGAGGACCTAATGGACCTCGCCGGATTGAAGACGCGTTGGTTAAGGTGACCAAGTACCGCCACGGACTTGACCCCCTGATCAACAACGGCATCACGTCTTCGAACGACCCCCCAGACCTCCGTGACTATCTGGGCTGGCGCACTCGGGCTTTCCGACAATATGAAGCCCTGGTGCGGCGAAGCTCATTAAGGGAACGGCTACCCCGCGGACCGCTTCGGGAGCTCCGCGCGGCGCCTTCCCCATCACTCGTTCGGCAACTCTGTTCCCCATCCGCCCGGTGGCCGCACCTGCGCCACCCGCGGCCCGCGGCCCCGCGCCCCCGTCCCGGTACCTCCGGCTCCCGTCCCTATGTGTCAGGGGAACCTCCCTTTCGGCCCCTCGGAGACGATTCCGATTCCGGTCCGACTCCGGTGATCGCATCACCGCCTCCGTCAGGCGCATCGCCGCCCCCCGCCTGGCGATCCCCCTGGGACCTGGCCTGCGACATGGCGCAGGCATACTGCACGGAGCAACGATCAACCTTGGCGCGTCAAGAGCGCAGTATATAGTTCCGCTACCTAGCAGGCGGACCCTTAGAGTTTCTTCTCTTTGGATCCTCCCCTGCTAGGACCTTGATCTCAGGCCTCCGGGGTTGCCCTTACAGCAGAAGAAACTCTCTACGGGATCAACCGGACAAGATTGCCAGGTTCGGCGCTGACTCAGGCTCAGAGTCCGAGTCCACTCCGCCCTCGCCACCGCCCCTGCCACTTGTCCCCTCCTCCTCTGCCACTCCTGTCGTCCCCGCACCTGTCATGCCTTCCGGAGCTACTCCTGACGCTGACACTCGGCTGGATGCACTCGAGGCGAAAATCGACCGCCTAACTGAGGCCCTTACTCTCCTCACCACCCAGGCTTCCGCTGCCGCTGCCGCCGCTAACACTGCTGGCGGACCCCAAACACCACCACCGGAGACGTCGATTCCGACTCCGACTCCGGTTCAGGGCGATTCCGAGGCCCTCTTTGGCGACATCAACCTCGCCTCAAAATTGGTTTTACGACCAAATCCCCCGTTCACCTTTAACGGCGATCGGAAACGCGGCCGCGCGTTCCTCTACGCGGTCCGCACCTACGCCCGCCTTGCCCCTGAGGCCTTCGTGGTCAACGGAGAGGCGAGCGAGGAAAAGGCCGTCCGCTATGCCATGTCGTTTATGGCAGAAGGACCCGCTCAGCAATGGGCGGAGCGCCACGGAAGCAAAGCCCCGTTTCCGTTTCCGTCCTGGGGCTCGTTCGTTTCCGAGTTCCGACTCCGGTTCGTCGAGGAGAATGAGCAAGATCATGCTCTCTCCAAACTGGAGACTTCCGCCTATCACATGGGCACAAAGGATGTCTACCAGTACACCGACGACTTCGAGGACCTGATGGACCTCGCCGGATTCGAAGACGCGTTGGTCAAGGTGACCAAGTTCCGCCACGGACTTGACCCCCTGATCAACAACGGAATCACGTCCTCGAACGACCCCCCGGACCTCCGGGACTACCTTAGCTGGCGCACCCGGGCCTTCCGTCAATACGAGGCCCTGGTCCGGGCCAAGCTGATCAAGTCAGCCGCCCCCAAGACGCCTGGCGGTTTGATTCGGACTCCGTTTCCGGTCAACCGCGTCCCGGCTCCGGCCCCCTTCCGCCCGGTGGCTCCGGTCGTGCCACCCGCGGCCCGCGCCCCGCTCCGGCGCCTCCAGCTCCCGTCCCCATGGAGTTGGATCGCACTAGGGCTCGGGGTGCCCCTCGTCGCGCCTGCTTCAGGTGCGGCGACCCAAACCATTCTCGCCGAGATTGCCCCCTCCCCGCGGATGTCCGCTCAATGGACATCCTCGACGAGGTGATCCAACAACTCGGTGACGAGATGTTAGCGGAGTTGATCGCCCGCTACTCGGACACAGCTGCGCTGCCGGAAACAGTCGCGGAGTCGATGGCCGGAGAGGATTTTGTCCCCCGCGACGAGTGA